GATTCATCTTCATAGGCAGAATCTGATTCTCCTTCTGAATCTGAAATATCTTCAGAAGTTAACTCGTGTGTTAACACTGCACCGGAGTTGGATTGAGACTTGTTCCAGTCATATGCTTATGTTTCCTTCAGAATGACATCTCTGATGAATTAAACTTTACTGGTGACAGGACAATAGAGCTTATAAGCACATATCATGTGGTACCCAATCAGTAACATCACTTTTCTTCTACCATCCAGCTTCTTTCTAGTAGTACCTAGAACATGTTTGTAACAAACAGAACCAAATACTCTAAAATGAATCACTTTTTGATTATCTCTAGTTCATTTCTCAAAAGGAACAATTTCCTTCAGCTTATTGGTTGGACATTTGTTGAGCACATATGACACAGTGGCAATAGCTTTTCCCCACAAGGTGTGAGGGAGATTCTTCTCCTTCAGCATGATCCTTGTCATATCAAGCAAAATCTTATTCCTTCTTTCAATAAGACCATTGTATTGTGGATTATATGAAGTAATCACCTAATGTTCAACTCCATTCTCTTTATATAACCTTTTGAACTCTGATGAGTTATACTCGCCTCCACCATTAGTTTTGAGAACTCTTAGCTTCTGATACTCTGTCTTTCAGCCTTCACCTTAAACTTCTGAAACTCAGCAAACACCTCATGCTTAAACTTGATGAGTGATACCCATGTCATTCTTGTGAACTCATCCATAAATGACACAAAGTAATTGTTTCCTCCAAGTGAAGATACTTCAAATTGTCCATATACATTATAATGCACTACTCCCAAAGCATGTTTATTTGTTGAAGCCACTTCTAACGCAAATGACAATCTATGTTGATTTCCTTTCATGCATGTTTCACATGACTTCTCAAGCTTCAGAGTCTTAGGAATTCCATGTACCAGCTTCGTAGAACTCATATGCCCTAAGCTTCTGAAGTTCTAATGCCCCAATCTCTTGTGTTGTAGCTCACTGTCACCTTCATCACCTTCTACATTATGGCATTAAGTTTCAGTTGTTTCCACATTCACCTTAAATGTTTTGTTGCTTCCCTGTTCAAATTTCATAATCATCTTCTGATCAGAATCATACAACTTCAAGAGATTATCCTTCATAGTAACTGAGAAACCTTTCTCAATTAGCTTACCTACACACATCAGATTTCTCTTCATGGCAGGAACATACCAAACATCCTTGATCAAAATAGTCTTTCCATTCTTCACTATGACCTTGACATTTCCCATTCCTTCAGCATTCAGATACTTATCATTAACACATATGATATTTGTCCTCTTTCTAGAGTCAAAATCAATCAGCCATTATTTGTTTTTGGATAGATGATTTGAGCAGCCATTGTCCATATACCACTAGCCTACCAAATATCCACCATCATATTCAAAATCCATCAATAGCATAGGTTTATCATCAGACTCTCCTCTGGCTATGTTTGCTTCTTCTGATTTCCTTTCCTTGTTTGACCAACAATCATCAGCAAAGTGGTCAAACTTCTTATAACATTAGCATTGAACCCTCTGTTTTCCAAACTTCTCCTTTCCCTTATAATCTTTCTTCTCATCGGAGTTGGAGGCTTCTGACTTCTGATAACCACCACCATGTGTCTTATTAGCCTCTGACCAAGACTGCTTCTGATTCATCTTACCAGAAGATGCTTTCAGAGCCTGCTATACATCTCTTTCAGAGTTTTTCTCAGTTAGGCGCAACTTTTATGCCTCTAAACTACTATACAGCTCTTTAATTCTCATGGTGTTGAGGTCCTTAGATTGTTCAATTGCTACAACAATGTAATCAAATTGAGGAGTAAGTGACCTCAGTACCTTTTCAATGATTACTTATTCAAATAGAGTTTCTCCACAAGATTTCGTCTTATTTGTGATTAGAATCACTCTGTAGATGTAATCAGGTACCTTTTCATAGTTCTTCATGTTGATATTCTCATACTGCTTACGTAAAGACTGAAGTTTCATCTTTTTCATTGATGCATCACCGCCATAGCATCGTACCAGTGTGTCCCACGCATCCTTTGTCATTATTGAATCAGCGATCTTCTCAAACACATTTGTATCCACACACTGATGGATATAAAACAACACCTTCTGATCCTTCTTCCTCGTTTCTCTATGCATGTTTCTTTGTGCTTCAGTTGCATGTTGTGCAACCGTTGTGTAACTGTCATTGATGAGATCAAAAATATCTTGAACGCCAAACAACACACGCATCTGAATCATCCATCGATTCCAATTATTTCCATCAAAGACTGGAAGTTTTATGTTCAAGCTACTGTTTCCTCCATTCATCTTCGTTCTTGTGCAAATTCACTCAAAAACTCACCAAGACTCGTATTTTTCGTTCTTGAGTCTGAACTAGAGTTCTAGATGCCAATTGTCGGTGCACAAGGTTGAAGATAAAGAAGATGAGAGAGAGAGAGAGAGAGAGAGAGAGAGAGAGAGAGAGAGAGAGAGAGAGAGAGAGAGAGAGAGATTTTGTAACTAACTTTCTTTCACAACAGAAAATGGTTACAATGAAATGATTCTACATCAAACTGAATCTAAATTCAACTTAAATGTGAATTTGGATTATACTTTAATAAATTATAGGTGTTCAATTCCAAACTGATTCAAATAAAAATAAAAAATCGATCCAAAAACCAAACACCGCAAAAAAAACTAAATATTATTGCATGTGTTTGGATGTTATTTTGTAAAAATTGGTCGGTTCGGATCGAATTTCGGATTGATTTTTCAAAATCCGATCCAAATTGAACTAAACCACGTGTATATATTTTTATGCTTATTCATTTTTTTTATTAATGTATGATTTGATGAGACTTATTTTTTTAATACTATTCATTAGTTTAGTTTAACCTATATATTTTTATTATTTCATTTATTTTAATCATAATCGATCATCATTAGTTTGTAATATTAATTTTTAATATATTATGTTACATATTATATCCAATCTATTATTTATTAATATTTTTATGATCTACATAAAAAAAATGTAATTTGGATATCTAAAATCCGATTCAAATTAAACTGTATAAAATTGAATTTGATCAAAATCCAAAACTAAATTACGGGTAAATTTATCTTTTTATCAGATAAATTTTTACCTCAAAATCAATCCAAATCGCACCACAAACACCCCAGTAATAAATACTAAAATGTTGCAAATCCAAACTCTAGCTCTTCCCATCCAATATCCTTGTGCAACTTCTAAGTTGGCTTAAAGGAACAAAATTTTGCATTATTTGCAGCTTATAGTACATGTACTTATCAAAATAAGTGTTTATATAAAATATGTTAAATTTGTACTTATCAAAATAAGTGTTTATATAAAATATATTAAATTTCTTTTTAATGTGTTATAAATTGTTTTAACTACATATTTTGAAATAAATTCAAATAAATAAATAAATAATTTAATTGAAATATTTTATACTACCAGTTAATCATAACCGTTAGATATTAAAAAAAGTTTGACTTTTATTTTAATCATTAGTAAAATAATACCAACAGATGATGGCGATGAATTGATAGTGTATAATTTTTTACACTAACAGAGTAGTGATTAATCTCATAAACAGAGACGGATCCAGAACTTTTTATTAGTAGGGTCAAAAATTATATATTACAAAATTTTATATAAAAATATTTAATAATTATATTATCAATAGTGTACTAGTGCATATGTATTTTTATTCAATCAATTGAATAACTGATACAATTTTCTTTTGGTGGTAAATAAAAAAAATGTTTGATAGGTAAAAACTAACTAATTATAGATAAAATAATTTAAATAAATAATCAAATTGAATGAAAAATAAGATAATTATATCATGTATTATAAAATAATATTACAAAATTAAATTATTTTATATTAGAAAATTTAAATGCATTTCAACTTCTATATAAATTTTAATTGTTTTATACAACTATTGAACCATTTTTATTTTATAATAATACTATTAAAATTATTTATTTGTTTATATCAAACAATTACTTTTTACAAAATTCATTGAAGAAAAATATTTTTAACTTTTTATATTTAGGAAAGAAAAGCTACTTTCAATAATTATAGTTATCAAACGGAAAATTTAAAACCAACTTTAAATATTAATATAGTATTTATTTCTTTATTATTTTCTCAAATATTACTTATTTAGTGGGAGCAACACGTAACTTTAATATGAAATATTTAAAATTTTCTAAATAAATTTGTGGAGGCAGCTGCCCCCAATATCATATACTTGAATTCATCCCTGCTCATAAATAAAAAGTTTTTTTGATAAAGTTAGTGTCAGAAAATTTATGCGAGTATATATCCATCGTTAATTGTTTGACAGAACATTGTTGAAACCTACTTTGCTTTCTGTGTAGTACAAATCTCTAAATTTCATATTGAAATACTGTCAATAAACATAACTGTATACGCTAGAGTACATGATGACATACGTTCTACCTTGATTACGGAAATGTAAATTCGAGCTCATTCATGACACACAAAGCAGCGTTTGTGCTGGGGAAAATCTTCACGTTCATATCTACATGCTCTAAATCCAGAAACATTTTGTGGGAAAATTTGCCAGTATCTGCATTGTCTTCCTAACTTGTTTTTTTAGGTTTCAAAGGATTCTGCTAGATTAGTTGCTAAGGATATTTATCCTTTAACCTGCTCAATGGATTATTCTATGAGATGAAAATTTTACGTATCGAGACTCTTATGAAATTTACCCAATAATAAAAATTTGAATTAAAAAGTGCGAAAAAATATATTCTAATTTGCAATGTTTCTCTTTTGCATTGTTAATTGAGTGTTGCTTAAATCCAAATCCAATCCAAAAGGAACATTTTGATGATAAAATTGGCTTGATCTGAAAGCAATGCTATATTTCCAATTTAATTTTATTCTAAACTACAATTACAACATAAATGACACAATATAACAGTGCTGAACGAAACTGTACTAAGCTCACTTCCATTTGAGGGACTGCCTAATGCCTGTATAAATGAGTCCTACAGACCTACCAATCAAGCTAACCAAAAAGAAAGAGATTGCTTCACTTGCTTTATTAATAACTTTTCTAACAATCGGCATCGCGATGTCCGACAACTCAAGGAGAAGGCTGAAGTAATACCGCCTGCAATACATTAGCACTAACATCAATTAGCTTTATTGGGGGAGAATATCTTATAAAGTGGGCGTCTCTAAAATCTTAAATAAGTATGGAAAAGATAAAACATACCATCCTATCAGGGCTCTTAACTCCTTGGTCCGTTTTACGGGCATCGAGAAATGGCTTATCACAATACAATGTAACTCATGTGACATGGTTTTTGAAGGTTGCTTAGTAAGAATCCTCCACCATGATTGTTTTTCAGCCTGACTGCTGTCTGGTAGATTAATGGGTTGTTTTTCAAGTGTACACAAGTCAAAGCGATCCTCATACATTGACACAACTGTGTCCATGTTGTGATGCAACCACTGGTTCAACGCAACCTGAAACAAAGAGTATAGATGAAAATCTAGGCAAAATTTCATCCGAAATTAAAATAAGTAGTAAATATTATAAAATGTATATATGATTAAGTGTATAGATCTAAACAGAATACTTTGCATTTGACTCTCCCCTCTCCAGGGTGCTATAATAGAATCTCAAATACTCAGTTCAGCTGACACTGGATTTAAAGACAACAATTAAAGATATTTTATTTCTTCTTTATTGTAGGTATAATTAGGACCTGATTGTGTGTAGTTTTTATTGTCTTGCATCTCATGAATTACAATATCTTCACTAGCCTAAAAGTTGTATCATAGCTCCAAATCTTGGGAGAATCCGCATCTGCTCCAAAAACACTAGCAACTTTCGTTGAAGAAAAACCCTAATTGCCTTCTATGTAGAGAAATCTAACCACTTTTTGCGGCCTACACAACAGCTATCAATGCTTTAAGAGTGCCCTTAGCAATGTAGGCCGTTGTGGTTGTGGGTCACGTTGCCGGCCATCATTGATTTGATCGAAGACCCACCAAAAGCAGCGCATCCTTAAAGACCAATCAACCCCAGCAGGGCTAAAAAATTATAATACTTCCATGCGCGACTATATATAGCTCAGTTCACAGAACCACTGTCAGTTGTGGGCTCACCCTCGTTCTTTTGAGGGTTGTTTGGTTCTTTTTACAGCACTTAAAAAGTCTTAACTCCTCATGGCAAAGTTTGTATCTCGTGCGAACCCTCCAAGAAAGATTCTGTGGTTTTTCACCATGTCTAAAGAAAAAAAAGGGTTCCCTTAGTCTCCCTGTCCCGCCAACCTCACTGTTGCATCGCTTGAACTACCTTGATGGGTAAACTACCTATAATTAACCTGGTTGGTTCATACCAACCTCCAAGGGAAAAAGAAAATCAACTATGACAAAGGAACTGCACAACTTTGAAAATCAGCCAAAATTGCACCTCTTCTCCAGTACTAAGAAGATTTAGGAGAAGCTTCACCACACTTATTACTCCCTTCTTCCTAGGATACATGTAATTTTAGCAAATGGAACACGAATTAAGAAATGTAGACTTTATGAAAAGTATGATTTAGGTTGGAAAATATTTTATTTTCATATTTAATTGTTTACGTTTATTGTCATTTACTTTCTTTTATTCTGCATTAAGGAGAGAATTAAGTATTTTTATTATATTCTCATTATATAAATCAGCATTTGACTGAGAAATAAAATTACAACAACTTTTATCTATTTCTTCCAATATGATATCGAGAGCTCTGGGTTTGGGTTACCGTAAAGCTTTCTACAATTATGGCGAATAACAACGGCGGTGGCCGCAGAAACGGCGGTGGTCGCGGAGATGGCAAACGAGAGAAACCGTCAGTGGTCACAAACAGTGGCAATAATGACGGTATTAATGAAGACATTAACATTGTTTTTGACAGTAACAAAGGCAACAATAGAAACAGAAACATTGTCTTTGGTGATAGTTATTCGGTAATGATCAAAAGAGTTCCTCATACTCCCTCAAGGTCAATATCCCTAAACTGAATGGGAATAACTATAATGAAAGGGCTCAAACCGTTCGGTTGGTGTTGGATGGCAAAGGGAAATTTGGTTTATTAACCGGAGCGGTAGCTGAACCGGCATCAGGAGATCCTCGTTACAAACAATAGAAATCTAAAAACTTTTTTATTATTACGTGGCTGGTAAGCTCCATGGAAACTGGAATAGGTAAGTCTTACATGTTTTTGCCTTCTACAATGTGTAGGAAGCTGTTAAGGAAACATACTCTGATATTCAAAACTCCTCCCAAATATTTGGTTTAAAATCAAAGTTATGGCATGCAAAACAAGGTGACAGGAGTGTAACGGTTTATTACAATGAGCCGTTGACACTGCGGCAAGAGTTGGATCTTTGTTATGATAACAATTGGAGGTGTACAGAAGCCAGTGTTTTGTTTCTCAAGAGGCAAGAAAATGATCGTGTATTCATGTTTCTCGCTGGGCTCAATAAAGACCTTGATGAGGTAAGAGGTAGAGTTTTAGGAAAAATACCATTGTCAAAAGCTGTTGACACTGTGGCAAGAGTTGGATCTTTGTTATGATGATAATTGGAGGTGTACAGAAGCCAGTGTTTTGTTTCTCAAGAGGCAAGAAAATGACCGTGTATTCATGTTTCTCGCTGGGCTCAATAAAGACCTTGATGAGGTAAAAGGTAGAGTTTTAGGAAAAATACCATGGCCAACTCTTCGTGAAACTTTTGCAGAAATAAGAAAGGAGAAGGCACGACAAGGAATTATGATGGACAAGACACCACGAAGCTCTGAATCTGAAGGTTCAGCTCTGACTACTAGAAACTTTGACGAGGGAAGAAGGTCAAATAAAGTTCCTTGGAGTGATCACTGCAAGCGCGAATGGCATACACGTGAAACTTGTTGGAAGCTCAAAGGCAAACCTCTGAACTGGAAGAAGAAAGGTGGTCGTGCATTTCAGGCTAGTAATTCTGATCAAGGGCGGCAATCCCCTACAACTCAGCTTCCATTTACTACAGAACAACTAGACAGACTGTACAAACTCCTCGAGTCTCCAACTCCTTCTTGCTCTATAGCAACAAAAGGTAATTCTGCACTTCTTAGTGTCAGTCCCAGTCATACTTGGATAGTAGATTCAGGTGCCTCTGATCACATGACAGGTGAATCTACTTTGTTCTCTTCATATAGTCCATGCGCAGGTAATTAAAAAATAAAAGTTGCAGATGGCTCTTTTTCAACAATTGCAGGTAAAGGGTCAGTTGTGTTGTCTCCAATATTAACTCTTAAAAATGCCATTCATGTTCCATACTTATCGTGTAATTTAATGTCCGTCAGTAAATTAGCCGACATATAAATTGTCAAACTAATTTATTTCTATCTCATTGTGTCTTTCAGGATTTGAACTCGGGGAAGATGATAGGCAGTGCTAAGGAGAGTGGAGGACTCTACTACCTTGACATTGGATCTACATCACAACTACCTTTAACAATAAGTTCCTGCTTTGAGTCTTTTTATGTTTTGAATAATAAAGATGACAACATTATAGCATAGCATTTAAGATTAGGTCATCCTAGTTTTCGTTACTTAAAACACTTGTTTCCTAAGTTATTTCACAATAAGAATTTTTCTTCGTTTAAATGTGAAGCATGTGAGTTTGCAAAGCATCACGTTCCCAATTTTCAATACAGCCTTATAAACCATCAAAACCATTTTCTATTATTCACAATGATGTTTGGAGCCCTAACCGTACTAGTACACTCTCTCTCAAAAAATGATTTATCACATTTATAGATGACCATACAAGAGTATGTTGGGTGTACTTGTTAAAGGAAAAATCAGATGTTTGTCAGGCTGTAAAGGATTTTTTTTCAATGGTGCAAAAGCAATTTCAAACAAATATTTAAGTTTTTAGAAGTGATAATGGCAAAGAATATTTTAACACTATCCTTGATGATTTTTTTCTAAAAAATGGAACTGTACATCAAAGTTCATGTCCTAATACTCCTCAACAAAATGGAGTGGCCGAAAGGAAAAATAGACATTTATTGGAGGTTGCTAGAGCTCTACCTTTTTTCTAATAACGTACCAAATTATTTGTGGGGCGAAGCTGTTTTAACAGCTGCGTATTTAATTAACAAAATGCCCTCCAAAATTCTCAATTTTCAAACTCCAATTACTGTCTTCAAAGAATGTTTTCCTAATACTCGTGTTTTAACTGATTTAACTTTAAAAATCTTTGGTTGCACAACTTTTGTTCATGAACATAAAAATGTTGGAAAACTTTAGCCACGTGCTATAAAATGTGTCTTTGTTGGATACTCCTCAACCCAAAAAAGATATAAATGTTTTGATCCAAAAAACAAGAAAATGTTTGTCACTATGGATGTTACATTTTTTGAAAAGAAACCTTTCTTTGATGACGCTCATCTTCAAGGGGTGGAGATAAATGAAGACTCGTTTCAAATTGAGGACATGAGGTTTTTGAAAAATTTATCTTTGTCTGTACCACAAAATTTATCTTTGCCGGTATCTGATCTTACTCCTGTTATGAGTAAGGAGCCTTGTGAATTCGAGCCTAAATTTTCTCTTGTAAAAAACAATGAGAATCCTGAAAACGATGATAATGATGATCTAATTGAAATGCCACAAAATAACGAGTTACTTCAAGAAAACAGATTCGAATTAGGAACCAGGACTTGGAAAGGGAAGGTTTTTATGAAAAAACACCATAAACGAAGGGACAAGTCCACATCTCAACACTGCCATGACTCTGAACTGGGGAATGATCAACCTCCTAACAAAAAGAAAGGTAAGTCTATCTCTGTTTCTAAGAGTCGTATTTTGTATCCTTATATAGATGATCCCGTTGGCATTAGAAAACCTGCCAGATCTTGCACTAAACACCTCATGTCCAATTTTATTTCATATTCAAATTTGTTTTCATCTATGTCTGTCTTCACCTCAAAATTGTCTAGTGTAGAAATTCCAAAAAGTGTACGGGTTGCTCTAGAAATTCCAAAGTGGAGGGAAGTTGTACTTAAGGAGATGAAAGCTCTTGAAAAGAACAAAACTTGGAGTGACAGTTGGATGCAAATGGATGTTTACTGTGAAGTATAATTCAGATGGGTCAATTGAATGGTACAAGGCTTGCTTGGTGGCTAAAGGTTTCACTCAGACCTATGGTATAGACTACCCAGAGACATTTGCTCCTATTGCAAAATTGAACACTATAAGAATTCTTTTATCTCTTACTGCTAACCTGGAATGGCCCCTACATCAGTTAGATGTTAAGAATGTCTTTCTTAATGGTGATCTAGAAGAAGTATATATGGAGATTCCTCCTGGTTTTGAAAACAAATTTGGATCAAATGTATGCAAATTAATTAAGTCTTTGTATGGATTAAAGCAGTCTCCCAGAGCTTGGTTGGAAAAATTCACTCAGTCCATGAAGAATCAAGGGTACATTCAAGGACAG